CCGCCGCCCCCCGCGCCGCCACCGCCGCCGCCTCGGTATGGCCACTTGGCGCGCTCCAGGCCGTAGTCGCGAAAGGCCACCTCCCGCACGGGCTGGACGTGCGGCGCCAGGTTGGACGAGTAAGGGAAAGTCATCTGGCAAGAGGACGGCTGCGAAAGGAACGACGGCTTGCTGGCGAAGTCCGACGGGGCCACGTAGTAAGCGCAGCCCGGCAGGTACATGCTGGCTGCGCTCGGGCCGCACTCGTCAAAGTCGTTCATGGCTGCGCGGCGTGCACGCCGGCAAGCCTCGGGCCGCTCCCCGCGCCTCCAACCTGAGCCATCGATTGCACAAGAGGCTTGGGCCAGGATCAACTAAGCAAAAATCCCCACCGGGCGCTGACGTGCAATTCATCTTGATTGATTCTGGTGGTAATTATGTCACGTGACGCCATGGAGAGAAATGTCCTTATATCTATATCAGCACTCGCCAACACGCCCCGGGACGGCTCCTGGCGCCGAGACGCGCGCACGCTGGGGGCGGAACGGCCTCCAGCTCCTGCCAACTCTCCCAGGGCACTCCCTGACCAGGCTGCGCTGCAGGCCGGTCACCTGCGCGCCACCGGCGGCTGCCACCGCTGGGCGCATCTGCTGCCACCGGACTGGGCCGCCCGCCCGCCTTAGCCCGCCCGCGCTGCTTTAAGTACCCGGACCTAGGCCGGAGGGGAGGAGGAGGGAGGGAGAAGGAGGGGGAGAAAGGGGGAAGGGAGAGCAGCAGAGAGAGGTGGGGGGAGCCCGGCCCTGGCACAGGGGACTAGGTGTGAGAGTGTGAGGTTCCCACCCCCCACCTTTCCTGCAACCGCTCCCTCCCCCGCGACGCTGCCACCCTCTGTAGCTCACCGGCTGGGAGCTTGTTGCTTCTTGTTCAAGGGGCGTAATTGCGACACTCTCCAGGGCGCTGAGAGCCCTGATTTACATATTTCTCTGAGGAGTGCGTTCCGGCTGGTAGAGATTTGACTCTCTTGGGTTCTGACACCAGGGACAAGTGTGCAGACCCTGGAAAAACGACTCCCGGACGCTAGCCTTGGCCTGGGCCTCGGTGCCTACTCGACCCTTTCTCTTCCAGATTTTTCGCTCCGTTCCTGTCCCTTATTTCTTTCTCAATCTTCACTTGTCTCCTTTCTCTCTCCTGTCTTCCTCTTTTTTTTTCCTTTCATCGTCTCCGTCTCGACCCGCTTTCTCTCTTTTCCCCAGTCTTTCTCAGTACCCTCATCCTCTTTAGCTTTAGCCCCTTCCTCCTCCTCCTCCTCCTTTCTCTCTCTCTCTCTCTCTCTCTCTCTCTCTCTCTCTCTCTCTCTCTTCCCCCGCCAACTTAGACATCCGGAGGTCCCGGCTTTCTTGCTTTCCTTAAAGCTCGGGGCCTGATGAACAAAAGGAAGTGAAGCCCTACCCTCGCGGCACAAGGGCCCTTCCTACTCACCACCCACAGACAAACCCCTGGTGCTCCAGCCTTCCTCACCCCCTTCAGTGTTCAGGTCCCTCCGACCTTTCACTGTATTGGAGCCTCACTAAGGCCTGAGCGCCCCCAAGACTCCTCTGGAGCCTTTGGGTTTGATGGTCACAACTCCCTGGGAGGTCGATTGACTCTCCGGGGACTCTCGGTAGCCTCTGCCTCTCCCTCCATCCCCGCCGGAGTCTATCACCTGGCTCCGACTTAGACTTTTCAAGCCCCCATCCACTTGCTCCAAGGCCTCGCTCTCTTTGGGCTGCAGCAACCCTCCGAGTCCTGGAGTCCAGAAGAGGCCTGGGCTCCCACTTCCAGCTTACCAGGCCTTTAGCCTTTCCCCCAAATCCAAATCCCAGCTCCAAAGGTTCCTCAGTAGTGCTCTCCCCAGGAAACCCCCGCATAGAGGCCGGGCTTCAGCCCCGTGCCCTGGCTAGGCAGCTCTGGCTGTGTGCTGGTTCCCTCCCTTCCCCAGGCCGCTGCAGTTCGGGTCCAGTGCTTTCTGCGCACCAAGCCGACTGACAGAGAAAAGGCGGGTGATCTGAGTTAATATCTATTTTCCAGTCGATGTTGCCCCTTTCTCTTTTTCTCCTCCCTCCTTTCTCCATTCCTCTCTTTCCTCCGCCCCCTCCCACGGCAGCTTCCCTCCCCTCCACATTGCGCAAACAGGTCTGTGGCAGTGAGGGCTGAAGCTCACCAAGCTTTCTCTCACCTAGCTGTGCGTCCTAGGTGACCCCTCCCTGCATCTCCCCCCCCCCCGCCTAGATTCCTGCTGACACCATTCTCCCAGCCCAGAGCCCCCCTCCCACATTTTTATCGGCCTCCCTATCTCCATCCTAGTCCCAAGTCTCCCTTTCTGATTCCTGGTCGACGCCCCTGGATCTGTCTTTTAAAATGGCTCCCCAGACACTGCACAGTGTTCCTGGGGTCGCCTAGGACGGAAGGCAGCGGCAGGGCCCCTGATCTTCGCATATCTTGCGATGCAAAAAAAAAAAAATCCGCATCTTCCCTCTGCTCACCCCACGAGTGGATTGCAAGGCACATCGTTACCCCTAAAGTGAAGTCGGCTGGCCGCCGAAAAGGGAAATGGAAAGGCCGAACCATTCAAGTTCAACGACATGGCGACGGCAGCTCCGGCGGGAGCCGTTCTTAAGCAGGGGAGGGTGCGCCATCTGCAGCGGCGCGCTGGCGCATTGGGGAAGGGGCGACGCCCCCCCCCCCCACGCCTTAGCGTGCAAGTCGCCCCCACACAGCACCCAGTGCATACATTCCTGGCCCAGACCGATTTACTGTTTAGCGCCAGCTCCCTCTACTTTGGTCCTCACCCCCAAAAAACCAGGAAAATCCACAGCCTTTGGACCCTCGCGTCCCGCCAGAGAACCTACCGTGAAGACCCGGGCGTTGTGTCCTTGTCCTTGCTTACGCAGTCCTTCCCGAAACACAGGGAAGCACACAGGGCCTTCGGGGCTCGGCCAGCAGCTCCGAGAACGACAGCTTTCTGCGCAGCGCGTAGACGCGATGCGGTAATTTTGAGCCACCCAAGATAAGACACTAACTTGACCTTAACTTTGTCAGGGCGCCCCTGGTATCTGGAGAACGTGAACAGACACTGTCTGGCAGCTCTCGTAAAAGCTGACTGGGGAAGGGATTCTGAGTCATTTCGTTTATTACCACTACAGTTCTGCAAGAAAGCTTTTCCTCCCTGCCAAACTTTAATTATTTATGCTCTTTTAGGAAACGAAAGAAGAGAAAAGCAGGGGAGGTGGGGGGGAACACCCAGAGCCAGTCCCTTCCCTGCAGAGCCTAGGAAAAGATTTCTTTCTTGAGTGCAGGCTGGAAAACAAAATAATGTGGGGAGATCACCTTTGTCCAAGAACGGTCGGTCGGACGGGCGGGCGCTGTGCCCCCCACCACCACTGAGGGGAGTGGATGCAGCTGGGAGAGGCCAGGGATGGGGCACACCTCCCTCCCCCACCACCAGACATGAATATTTACAATGATTCTGGATTTCTCCTCCACTAGCTCCGGCCAGAAAGCCTCCCTAGCCTGCCTCCCAAGGGGGAGAACCCTGGGGCCTTAAAAGCTTCCCCCCTTCGGCCTTCAGAGCTCTCAACGGATTGAACAACAGAATAGACCGTTCGTTTTAAAACCTCGTTCTTAGTCAAGAGGCCGCATGGACTGCCGCGTTTCAGAGGAAGCATTTATCTTTCTACGAGAGAATACTGAATGATCAGATTTCAGTATCATTCTTCTTTGGCATTTATTTCTCATCTTCGTTTCAAATTTCTGCCAGTACTTCAACTAGGGAAGGAGACACCGTGGTCTTTGATTTTGTGTGGACCAGTAAAGGGGATGCATTTGGAAAACACCGCTGGAACCACAGATAGATTTTATATTTAGGCTAATTTTCTTCTGGGACTGGCCTCTAGGAATATTCTCCTTCCTCCCAGGCTACAGAGAAGAATCATGACGCTTTAGTGTCTATTCATCTAGAAAATGAGCCTGCACGTTTTGTTTTAAGGCCTGGGTATGAGTAAGTCTGGTTTCTTCTTCCTTTCTCAGCCCTCTGGACCCAAGGTCTCAGTACGGGGGTCTGCCTTTGTTCAGTTGTTTTCGAAGAGAAAACCTCTCAATACAGACTCGGACTCCAGAAATCTGGCTCAGTACCACTCCCTCCCTGCCTAGTCACATGGGGAAATAGTCTACTGGGCCTTCATAGCCTCTTCTTTCTTACCTTTCAATTGTTGTGTGCAAAATTTTAATTGAAAAACATTTTATGTATAAATCAAATCTGTTTCCCAGGAAGGGGATTGGAACATTGACTATTCGGTATCAGCAGAGTCACTGGTATTGGTCATTCTTTCTCTAGTTAGAAGCTAGTTTCTACCTCTGTGAGTTAGGAGCCGGATTCAAAGGGATTAGTATCAAGCAGGCCCTGGCTTTACTTGACTGGGCTCTAGGCTCCAAAGGCATAGGGTGGAATTCCCAAGGGAGCCTGCAGAACCCCTGGTGCAATCGTCTAGGGGATCTTCCTAGGATTTAGCTTGGTCCTGAAAAGACTGACCAAAATTTGGCAGAGGGAGGTTTTGTTTTGAAATCTGAGGAGTCTCAGATCGTGACTCTACCCCTTCCCCCAGCAAATAAGAGCAATCTTTCAAGTTTGAGAATTTAGACAAAATGGAGAATCCTCAATTTACAATCTCAGAGTTTTCTTTGTGTTTGAGATACACTCACATCTGCACAAGGACTTTCTTCCTTTGGATAGTTCACACATATTCTGTCCAGAGTTGTTTTTTCATATATATATATATATATATATATATATATATATATATATATATTCCCTGACTGCCTCGGAAGTCATTTTCTCACTTAATGATCAGCAAATACCAGAGGTGAAACAACAAGCAGAGAAAAACAAAAATGAATTTGGAGGCCTGAAAAACATTACAAAAGAAATGCCTCTTTTAAAATGAACAACAGCTCTCTAACAATGTGGCTGGGACCTGGGTATTTATTTTCACTATGCAGCTAGTATATACAAGGAAATGTTATTTTACAAAATCAAAACAAAATATCCACGACAACGGTTAACATAGAAAATAATATTATTTAAAACATCAACTGAGATCAGTTGGGGTATGGCTCAAGGCTCCTTGTGAGGTGGCCTGCAAGGCCCTGGTCCAGGACCTCTAAAGAAAAACCTTGGACTTTGGGGAGGAATCTTGGGCCTTTAGGGTGTTGTGGATCTTGCTAGGGGTTGAGGGTGGGGCTTAAAGCGCAGAAGAAGAGGCAAAATCTCTCTCTCTCTCTCTCTCTCTCTCTCTCTCTCTCTCTCTGGGGGTGGTGGTGGAGAGGGCATGGGATGTATTCACTGAGAATAAGGCTAGATGGATTCTGTAACAAATGTAGAACAATTCCATCAGAATTTCCATTCAGAAAACCTAGGCTCCTCAAGGTAAACCTGACAGGACTTAAAAGCTTCACCAGAGCCGGCCACAAAGTATCTCAGAGAAAGGGTACAATGACTGAGCTTTGATGGGATTGTTGGGTGGTGGAGAGGGTGGTGGGAGAAGTTCTGATTCCTTCTGCCTTTCAAGAGCAGCAGCCACAGGCTGAGGATCTGAGGTTCCCTTCTCTCACCCAAGACTCCACAAGTAGGCATTTTGTTTGCTTGCTTGTCTTTTCTTGTGGTGACCCATTAAGGTAACTCAAGGAAGAAAGACATGTGGACCCTTTCATCATTCAAGAAGAAAGTCATAGTTATAGCATAAGGACAGAATCTCCTCCTCACTCGCTTGCTTCTCTTCCTTCCCTGTGCAGCCAAGCCTCAAAACAGGCCAGCACCTCCCCTCCCGCTACGCTACAGCTCAGTTCTAGGGGTCCAGTTACAGAGTGCACAGCCTTGGCTCAGGGATAGGTGAGCTTGGGGTAGAAGAATTTCTGCCAGTCTTGTTTGGAGATTGTAATTTGTTCTGGAATCCCAGTTTCTCTCTCCTGTCTCTGAGAAGGAAACCTTCTAGTATATTCTACTCAGTCGGAGAGCCTTTGTAGAGCTGAGATTCCAAAGGTATCCCCCCCCCCCATCCTTCTGGGCAGACGCGGGTTTTAGTGGAACCAGGCCCTTTCCTCCCTCCTGGCTTCGTCACAAAAGGCCTCGCGGCCGCAAAGAGGCTCGGGTTCTCCGCAGCCATAGCCACTGCAATTGGGGTCTCGGGGCCTTTCTGTGTGCTCTTCTAGTCAGGGCTCTAGCTAGCTCCTGCTAGACGCAGAAAGAAAAAGAAAACTGACAAAAACCCAAATACAAGGATTCAATAGTAAGCCCTGGATGTAAATACCACGGACAAGGGCAGGTGACAGCCCCACGCTGAATGCCAGTGTTAGATTACAATTCTCAAACACCTCTTAGGAGGGTCTCAAAGAGAGCTGAAGGCAAAGGGGCCCCCCCGGCCTCATCTTCAAATCTCCTCCTGCCTCCAGGGCTTCAGACTGAGCCAGAGGAGGGCAAGAACCAGCGGAAGAGCGGAAGAGCGGTAGGAAAATCCTCAGTCCCAGCCCCAGCACCTCCTCCACGGCCAGGCCTAGATCCAAAAGGGCAGACTTGGCATGGCCGCCGCCCCGTGAGCGGCTAGTAGAGCGCCAGGACCTGCTCGCGCTGCACCACACGCTTCTTCTTCATGCGCCGGTTCTGGAACCAGATTTTGACCTGCTGGTCGCTGAGGTTCAGCCTGTTGGACAATTCCTTACGCTTCTGCCGATTGATGAATTCATTGACCAGGAATTCGTTCTCCAGCTCCGCAATCTGCTGCTTTGTATAAGGTTTCCTCTTCTTGCGGGCCCTCCCCGGGGCCGCCCCCCACGGCAGGCCTGAAACAGAGCCCCGACCCATGTCAGCCCGTTCAAATCAACTTCCCGCCCCACAGAGGTTTGCCATTGCTGGCGATTCTCCTCCCGGTACAACTGTCCCTGGCAACCCACCTCCCGTCCCCGCCCAAACTGGCTTGGGGAGCGTGGGCACCGTTTACCGTCGGGCAGCGAAGATCGCAGGCAAGAGGCCACCCCGGCCACTTGCACTGTCATGTTCAAGTTGAGCGGGCCCTTGGTGTCTTCCTTGAAGCTGGAGGCGCAGGGGCCCCCCTGGAGCAGGGTTGCAGAGCCTGGAACGGCCCGGCCCACACTCGCGTAGTCATACTTGGTGCCTTTGAGAGCCGAGTGAGCCAGACTAGACTCAGGGGCGAAGGGAGGCCTAGTTCGGCTGCGTTCCTCTGATCCGGTGGAGGCATCAGGCGTATAGAACTTGACTTGTTCTTCGGGTCCATCCTTGGTGCCTGGAGACTGCAGGCCAAGAGGCCCAGAGCCGGTCAAGTAGGGTTGAGAGAAACCTCCAAAGGCAGAGGCGGTGGCAGGCTGCGCAGGGGTGCACGAAGCAGGCGTAGCGGCCCAGGGCAGCGCACCGCGAGGGTATGAAATGGGGGGAAGCGCGGCCAACTGGCTGCCATTGGGCCGCAGATTGGAAAAGTAGAACGAGTCCGGGGACTGCAAATTCAGGAGCGAGCCCACATAGCCCCCTCTGAAGAGACTGCGCTCACACATCTCCGACAAAGGGCCTGGGCTGTGCTCGCAACAGTATTTAGTTACAACCCGGAATAAGAGGCCCGGCTCAGAGGATTGGACGAAACTTTGCCTGCAGGTTCTTCAAAGCCGGTCATTTCAGCACCGCCTACATCCCCCGACCCGTCCCCACCCCCCCTCAGGGTATTATGATAACACCCGCAAAGTTGGGCTTTGAAGGACCAGCCAGCGGAACCAAAGCGTGCTGAGGGAAGGCGAAGCCCTTGAGAGTTTCCAGGCCTGTTTAGGAAAGCCGATGACATCGGGATGGGGGTACCTTTACCCAAGTGTCTCTTGGGAGTTTTCCTGTCCTGAATTGGGTTTGCCAGCTCATTTCCCACCAGCTGCCTGGGCCGGACTTGCTTCTTTCAACTTTAAGTTGCAATTCATACATTTTTCGGTAATGATACCTCTAGACTTGACTGGAGAAGGTCTGGCAGGGCCACCAACTGTCCCTGGGTCTGAGCAATGCCACTCCAAAGACCAACAATCCCTTTAGTAGATAGAACCTCTCAGGAGGCCTCTGTCCAAGACGTTTGGCAGCAAGGACCCATTCTGTGCATGAGCCTGGAATCCCAGGTCGCAGACAATACAGGAGGTCGAGGAAACAATGAAAGAAGGCGACACAAACCATTCCCCGGGCGTTTGTCCTCAGGCACTATGCCCTTAGTGGTGTTATCCGGGACCCTCAGGTAATTCAACACTTCGAGGAGCCAAACTTGTGCAAAAGGTACATGCCTTTCATCTCTCGGAATCACCTTGGTGACAACTCATAAGCCAGAACTCCTAGATGTCCAGACAACCAGCTAGCTGCGTTCCTTGTGTCGGTGCCTCCGGGCACGCGGGAGGCTGCGGGTACACTGGCTGGGCAAATAGGGAAGCCGGAAGAGTAGCTGCTCCTTGGGTGCAGTAGTACGTTTAACTCCCCTGAGGCAGGCCCTTCTGGGACTAAACCTTCCCCCACTCCCCGCTTCGCCCCCAGACTGTGGGACGGACTCCCGCGCTCGCCTGCAGCAGGACCCTCGGTCCCTGAGTCAAGCTGGAATTGGTTAGGGCCTCAGCTCTGGCAAGGAGACCACACAGGCGCCGCCGGAGGGCAAGGCTGACCACCTCGCTGAGACTTTATTGTGTGAGTTATGGCGACCAATTGGGTGGCTCTCAGGACGCAATGGGCCTCTTCCTCTGGCTCTGGGGCGCGAGCGGGGGTGGGGTGGGTGTGTGGGTGTGTGTGGGAGATAGGGTGGGGGTGGAGAAGTCTAGGACTCTTCAGGGCACTATTAATTCCCTCTGTCTCAGGCGTTGGGACAAGCTCTCCATTCTCTGTTCTTTCTTGGGAGGTGGGAGAAGGCTTAAGTTTCAACTCCGATTTTAGAAGCCCAGGGGAACCCAAGCCCTAGGTATCCCATAGTTCTCATTTAGTAAGAGTTCTCCTTTCTTTACTGGAGAGTCCTTGGCCTGAAATTTCGGTTTTAAGAATCCCAGCCCTCTCAGCGCCTCTGCCTTAGGCACAGCGATTCCTAGGTGTTACAGGTCTTAGAGTGCATCTTTAGACCCTGGCTGCCCTAGAGTTCTCTCCGCCTCTCAGAACTAAATACGGAAAGGGGCTAAGTGGTGAACCAGGAAAGATAAGAAAGCTCGATATTCTCTCTCTCTCTCTCTCTCTCTCTCTCTCTCTCTCCCTTCTCCTCCTCCATCTCCTCCTCTTCCTCCTCCTTCTTCTCCATCTCCTTCTCCTTCTTCCCCACTTCATCTCCCGAGTTTATAACTTTCGAGGTCTTGTAGGGAAAGGGCTTTTCGAGAAGCTAGTGACTGAAGCTGGAAGCTGAACACCCGGAGGGAAGGTGCACGGTGGGAAAGAGGCTCGACTGAGAATGTGGGGGGAAAAAGCCTCTGGTTGAGGACCCGAATGGCAAACTCTGCCAATGTCGCCGAACGCCCAGAAGATGGCGAGCGTGCTCCACGCCTGGAGAGGCGCCGCTGCACGGTCAAGATCAACAGTGAAGGGCGGTAGGGCCGGCTTGGGGTCGCCAGCGCTGGCGGTCATGGCCCGCTGCCAAGGCGCTACGGACAGTCTTGGAAAGCCCGAATTGTAGCAGCAGCTGACCCAGACAGCCGAGTCAAGGGACCTGACGCGAGGAAGCCTTGTGGCAGCATTTTTTGTTTGACCTTCAGTCTCTGTCCCAACGCCCTTTTCACCCCTTGAATCACGAATCATCTGCAGATCTTGGTCCCCACCCCAATCGCTAATAATACGCCAAGTTTCTGAGCAGCTCTCAGTCTCTAACTGAAGAAAAAGCCTTTCTCCAAATTCCCTTGGCCTTCCGAGCTCCCCACGGGCCTCTCTTCCAGGGCCACAGCCACTTACCCCTTGCTCTCCTCCTCCCGCAAACCCGAATATAAAAGGCACACATATAAATAACAAAGCCTTCATCTGTTCCTCATTTAGCCATCAATCCAAATACCACCAGAGAGCATTTGAGCGCAGTTTTAATCTTCAGCAAACCCCATTTCTCTGAGGCTCAGCGAAACTGACGTGTAACTACAGATGAAAGGGAAACCTCGAGGCAATTCCCTCGACCCGATACAGGAAACCTGAGAAACGGACCTGAGAGATGAAGTGTGGCCTGGGAGACTAGAACCTACAAAAAAGAAATGGGGGGGGGGCGGGAGAACGGGGGTTGAAAGAAAGCTAAAGTCCCCCCCCCCCCTTTATTTTCTTGATGAAACACATCTTGTGAGCAAAACAGCGAAGATGTTAAGTGATGCTTCCTTAAGTGTGACCTCCGGGATGATGTGACACCCCCCCTTTTCTGGGGTTTGTCCTCCATAGATGGAACTACGCTCTGTATTTATACTTGTCTATCTCTGCCAGTATCTCCTCCTCTATAAACGGAGTTGGCCCCTGCAGTTTGTAGTAAAATGCGAAACAAGCCAAGTTGGATCTGAGAAAACGAAAGTACTTCCCAACCTTAAGCCCCTGTGTTTTCTCCCCGCAGCCCTGAAAGAGCCCTCCTACCACAGGAATTTACATACTGTGTGAGCTTTTAGAAATCTGTTTAACTAACTTTTGCCTCAGAAAGTTAGCTCCTCCTAGATTGTAGTGATAAAAAGAAGGAACCCCATGTTTTTGTGACCATTGCCCTGGGTGGCAAAGAGACCTTGAAAAAGTTCCCAATGCTTAAAACTTGTGTCTAGTTGTTAAGATGTACAATAGGGATTTCAGGTGTCAATTGCTGCCTGCAGTATGAGGTGTCAGAAATGTTTCTGTTTTAATTGCCAAAAGTGGATATGGCTTTATTAAATGTCTGGGTCTTCCTAGTGAAGATATTTATAATGGACCCTCTTTCAGGTCCCAAATGTCCTAGTGAGTTTGCCTTTATCCAAGCTCCCACATTCACATTGATTAAAAAATAAATAAAATTGGTAAATGAACTGATAATATTGAAAGAAATAAAATTTATTGATTTTAATGAGTTGGTCTGATTAAAAAAACTGATCATTTTAAACAGATGATATCCTCATTTTTAAAACATCACTATTTGTGTTAGAGGGAGGTGGGCAGGAATAGAACATGGAAGTTTCAGAGACCAGAACTGGTGGTGTTTCCTTCATCTACAGATGCTGAGGAGAGCACAGTTTTATAATAAATAAGAACAGTTTCAAGAGACTTCACAGCCTTGAAAACCACAAAAGTATGAAGACTCAGTGGAAACAGAGAGTTCTTTTTATTTATATCTCCCTAGGAGTAAAAGGTGATTTTTTAAAAAAATGCTCGAAGCACTGCTCACACACATTGCACCTACAAAAATCATTTCTCGGTCGCATAAACATGCAACGTTTTGAAAGTAGTTCAGCATCACTTTCAGAAGTGTATTTTTTTCTTGCTGGTCCTTAGAGCTCCATATTTTAAAAATGTGTTAGATGTTTTAAAGCTCTGGGAGACCCATGCATTCAAACAATTAACTTCTTCATTAGAATCTGGGTAGAATTTCCCACCCATGGCCTCACTGGCTCAGTCTCTTTCCAAGGATTGAGGAGATGGCCTCAGTTCCATTCCCACAGGCCCAAGGAAAGCGGGTGAATTTATACCATCTAGGAGACACACGCTGCCAATGGTAGGTGTTTAAATAGCTGCTTCTAGAGTTGGAGAAGTGAAGGCATTCAAGAGGGCATACTGTTTCCAGATTAAAAGATTACAGCTACAAGGCACGCTACAAACACACAAAACATTAAATGAGATTGCCAAAGATAGGGAAGACTGTCTTCATTTCAATATTAATAAGGTAGCTGCTTTTAAAGCCATCAGGGGCCTTCATTCTCCAAGCTTCAGTCTCTACCAGTGATCCTACTTCACTGAGTGCCTGAAGCTGTTTCCACTTGCCTGGGGGCAACTTCTGAGAGCTAATCATTCAATTACACAATCACAGGGTACGAAAGGCTGAAAACAATTCTGGCCTAATGAATTATGAGCATAGGCAGTGCTGGAAAGGCATATAAAGTCCTATTAAAAAAATAAACCCCTAAATCCAATGGGCACTTCTGAAATTCATTTTGGGGGATTATTGAAAAACACTTCAAGTTTTCTTTTTATACTGGCCTGGAGGGAGAAACAATGTTTTCAAAAAAAAAAAAAATCCTGAAAACAAGCCTAGACAAGAACAAAACCAATAAGCAAGAAAGTAACAAAATTACAAAGTCAGATTGCATCAAAAAGTTTTAGAGCCAGATGAAGGAGAGAGAGAGAGAGAGAGAGAGAGAGAGAGAGAGAGAGAGAGAGAGAGAGAGAGAGAGAGA